GATAATGATGTGAGAAATGATTATTGCTCTAAAGACAAAGTATTTTTTCTATTCGGTCGTTTCATTCATGTCAGGTTCCTACTACTTATAATACTACTACTACTGTTTCCTAATTAGATTAAAATGGAAAACCCCTGTAGCGTCCAATTAAAATAAGGCCTGGAAGATAGCTCTTAACCTCCCACTGAGTGTGTGTGAGAGTGTGTGTGTGTATGTGTATGTGTATGTGTATGTGTATGTGTATGTGTATGTGTATGTGTATGTGTATGTGTGTGTGTGTGTGTGTGTGTGTGTGTGTGTGTGTGTGTGTGTGTGTCCGCACGTCGTAGAAGTAGTGATTAATAGGATAATACATAAAAGGCTTCATGCTTGGGAATGATTCACACACAAATTGATTTTTTAGCATACACCGGCTACAAGTAGAAAATTGCCTATTAAAAACTCAAAGATCAAACCGAAAGAATTAAAGATTGTGCCATCATCAAGTGGAAAACAGACCTGCTTTTTATTTTGAGGCTGAGCCCACACCAAACAATTCACAGGAAACAGGTCAGTGATAATGAACAGGGGACAGAGGGGCCAAAGTAATTAAATAATAAGAAGACTCACAAACACAAAACTCCAATTTGTTTGGTCATATAAAGCGAATTTTTCTATAATTTACATATATAAAATACATTTCATGACAGTATTTGAATTGCATATTTTGCCCAATCAGCAGTAAAAAGCCCAATGAAAGTTAAAATAAATAAATAAACCCGGATCGATCATCAAAAAAAGCTGCCAATTATCTTCTGTGGTTGGACTGATGGATTGATTAACTGCTTCGTTGACGGGTCTGAAATACAATATCGAAATTATATTCCAGATTCTTTTCTATTTTTCCAAAGAAAATACTTTTCAAAGACGACTATATATTTTGGCAATATTCCTTAACGCCCAGGTTACTTTCTTTCAGGAACAGCTGATTTGCATTTCCCACATGCCAACTTGCAATTAATGAATTAATTGAAACGCACACACAGGATATAAACCATGGATGCTGGCCACTCACACAGGCAGCACCTGTCAGCTGGTGTTGTGGGACAGCCAAGGACTTGTTTGTTTGTTTCACTCTCTCTCTCTCTCTCTCTCTCTCACGCTCTCTCATGTGAGTGTTTGAGTGTGTGTGGGTATGTGTGTGTGTGTGTGTGTGGGTGTACATCTATCCAAGGTCTCTCTCTTTTTCCCTCAACACCCCTTCACCTCTCCACCTGCCGTTCCTTTCTTGCCTCCATCCCGCCTCTCTGTCTGTCTCACTTCATACTAACCATCATACCAGCATCCATTGGACCTCTCTCTCTCTCTCTCTCTCTCGGTCTCTGCACCTGTGACTGAAACACAGACTCGCTCAGTCTTGCTCGGCCTTCCTGCTCATTACAGCCCCCAGGCAGCCCCTCCATCATAGAGCAAAGGCAGAGATAAGCTACAAGAGTACACCTGTGCCTGGTGTGAATGCCAAATCCAGAGTCAGTGACAGCCAATTCCAGGCCAAATAATGGAATCATCGAACCTCAGCTTCAGACAAATCAACCTGACAGCTTTATCTCACACTCAAGATTTCAAAGCACGTTACAAAGCTCATTATCAAATGAGAAAAAGCCAGGAGGAAGAAGAGAAGAGTGTTGACACTGCCACAATGACGCATGCGAGGGATTACGTTTACAAAGCTCGTTTACAGACGGAACAGGTGCAAGGAAATGAGAAACATATTTTCATTTCATCAGAAGTGCAGCTGAGCGGTATTTGACAAAAGGAAGATGAATCAACAACTACTTGCAGCAATAAGAGGCTGCATACGATTACCACAAATAAATATCAGTTAATGATTGGAAGAATGAGAGAGAGAAAGAAAGAAAGAAATACAGAAAGAAAGTATTAATACTGTAAATATAAATCAATACATTATTAAATATATGTGTCAAAATCAAATCAGTGTTATTTGCAAGGCCTAAATGAGCTTTTAGTTTGTCAACATCAGTGCATCGTGACTATAAGAGCACACGTAAAACATAGCACCTAAGTACAAAATGGGAATAGAGAATTTTTCTAGCTCGTTGGGACACAATATGAGCCAAAAAGCAATTATTAAATTCAATTATTAAACTCTCCACTGTCATCTGGCATACAGGCATACACAATGCAATCATTTTCTGTTCTGTCCACAAAGTCAGTTGAAAAGTTAACTTTGTTCTTTGTCAACTTGGACTTAAAAGCAAATATTAAAGTGCTAGTTTGACATTTGCAGAAATTTGTTATGGTGTTAGAAAAGAAGATCGATACCATGCTCATGCAAAAAGGTGGATAAAGACCTAGTACTTTAAAGGTGGGGTAGGTAAGTTTGAGAAACCGGCTTGAGATCGCTAGAATTTGAAAATACACAACCGGAGAAAATCTGCCACTTCCTTATAGAGCCCCTCCTCCAACACACACGAACGTGCACATGACCAATGAGGGCACGAGATAAGTTTGTGCACAGATGGAAGGCTGACAGGCAGGTAGGCCATCCAGTTATTTTAGCCGGGCCGGCTAAAATGATTGGTCGTGCTTTTTACAGTATTACGGCTTCCACAGATGACATTTTTTTATGGAGTTTTTGTCAAAGCACTTAAGATATTCATTGCTATCGGGATGTTAAGAGCTTTCCATGGAATATAACAAAAAGTGTATCTCGAGCCGGTTTCTCAAACTTACATACCCTACCTTTAATGCCGATAATAAAGGAGGTTGTTTGTTAATTTGCCTTAGTGGTGTATCAGTGGATGGGGTCAGGGCTCTTTGGCTAATTTAAAAATAAAAACAGCGTGAGATAGTTCCTCTTTAAGGAGCTCTATTATCTGTAATCATGACAGAGAGATGTGGAGAGTGTGTGTGTGTGTGTGTGTTTCAGTTTGTATGTGTGTGTGTGTGTGTCCACTATGTAATTATAGATTTAGTAAACCCGAGGCTTAGTGTGACTCAATCAACCCCTGCTTTGTTGGGTGAATGGATAGTGATGATAATGAGGTGTGTGTGTGTGTAGGTGTGCAAACCAGTGTTCAGTGGACATTCATATTAAACATTGTAATCCATAGATATGTACAACCAGCCTATGTGGGTCACATTGATAAGTGTCTTTAATAGTTCATTCAAAATAGTTTTACTGATAAAGGCAATATGCATACCAAGCTATTACAAAAAAGTCCACACTGTATACCTGTGGTGCAATTATAGGGATGATGTATGGATTTCATTCAGTACAAAGAGGATTAAGGAAAGGAAGAGTATCTATAAATTCACTTTAAGTTCCACAACTAAAAAATCCTACACGTTGTAAAACACTGAAAATATAATCAGTTTCAACGCAAGATGCATGCAACCAGCTGCAGCTCTGAGGATCTTAATTAAGGTCATTATTTCCACTTAAAGGAGTTTTTTAAGGAAATGCAAGCACAAAAGAAATATCCTAATAGCTCTGGTTTTGGATGTGTGCTGCTGTGTGTGCTGTTGTGTGTACTGCTGTGTGTGTGCCTGCATGAATCTCTGCTAATAGCCCTGCTGTGAGTCTATAAGGTTGAAATACCACAGTGTAAATTGGTGACATTAAATCCATTTTATGTTGCGGGCTGACCCGGAAAAACAAAATTACGGCTACACTTGCTCTCTCGCTAATTGGAATTAGACTGCAGATGCATTTATTTACTGGAAATAAAAAAGTAAGCTCCAGATTCGAGCTACGATCAAGGTCTCATCTCCCCTATTCATTATTAGACTAATCAATGCTCTGCAAATCCTCCGTTATCGGACATACGGTGTACAAGCAACAAAAACAGGGGGGCGTGTGGTGCAGTGGAATAGTGCGTTGGTGTTCGGATCAGGGGGAGCACAGGTTCAAACCCCACTGCAGTCAGCATGTCGTTGTGTCCCTGGGCAAGACACTTCACCCCAAATTGCTCCTGTGGGGATTGGCCACAGTATTGAGTATGTAAGTCGCTTTGGATAAAAGCGTCTAACAAGTAACAAGTAACATGTAATGTAATGTAATGTAATGTAACAACAAGCCGAATGGATAAACAAAAACAAATTGGTCTTCAGAAAGGTGATTAAGCAAGAAAGAAAGTGATAAAAACTAGAAAAAGCTACATTTCAAGCTTATTCTTGCATATCAGAAAATTACACTTGACAAATTAAATATAATATGAATTTACAAATAAAACAGGCCATCTCAACGCTTGTGACGCAGTGGAAAACCTCTCCGTTTCCTTCATAGAGAAACATTTTTACAGTGAACTAAGGGCTGGTATTTTCAAGCTTGGAACAACACATTTGATTCTAGCAAAATGCTAAAAAAATAAATAATTTAAACATCATGTTTTTTATGACTTCATGAGACTGTTGAGCAAAACTGATAAAAAGCCCTGCAACAATTGAAAGTCACTGGAATATAAAAAAAAGTCATGTTATCCCGTACAGCAGTGGACTGTCAGTGCTTCATGCTTTAATGATCAGTTTCAGCACAGCTTCACATTTGCCCCTGACATTTTGTTTCTACATGACACTGGCATGATTTCTGCAGGCTGCTGTCTAACTAGCATGACATGACAAGGATAGACTGGAAACTCTAAAATGGACACACTGCTCCATCAATTCCTTTCAGAACCAGAGAGAAGGCCTCGTCAACTAACACAACCCAAAAGAGCCAAAAGCCATAGTGGCAAAAACCTGGAGCCACCACGGTTCAGTTACCTGTGACAGGTGCACATATAGGAGGAAATACTCACATCACTATAACTGCAGCTAATGTAGCCAGCTATTATGTGTAATACTCTGGGAGTGAAAATACCCCTATTTTTTTGTTCATAAAACGATTGAGATTTAGACATTAAACACATCTTGCAACCACAAAAGTATGTGTCTGATTCTTCATAGCACATGGAAATTGTTGTGAAAGTAGAGGCGTATCATGTGACAGTATTACTCACCGAGGCCGGGGGGAATCTCGGGGCACGGCGGCAGAGGTTTGGGCGAAGGCATCTGATTGGTCTCAGGCTGCACAGTGGGCACCAGCTGCTCCCCTGGGGCCAGGTAGCTGGCTAATGTGGCATTAGGCCTGGAAAGGTTGTAATAGTAATAATGGTGTCCGCTGCCTGCTGCCCCGCTGACGTTATTCCTGGATCCGTTGCGGCCGTTGTTGAAGCGGCTGAAGAGGTCGAAGCGCTGCGAGTAGACGTCAAAGTAGAGTATCATCATGATGAGGAAGTGGAGGAGGCAGAGCAGCAGGACGCCTTTACAGATGCGCTCCAGGGTCCGGCCCAACATCAGCCGGGTCATGGCCGAGGAAGATGACCGCCAGCCTCGACAGCGCTGGCGCGGGGCGGCTACAGACATGAGCTCATCTCAGTGGCTGCTATTAGATCTCTGATAAAGACATGTGGTTAGGTGATACCCGGTTATCTGACTTCTGCAGGGGTCATGGGGACATTAATAAGTTGATAATGAGTTGCCAGCTTGTTTCTAGAACGTCCCCAGATCCCCTGCATGACACACGCACTGAATGTTGAATCAGAATCAATCCCTGAGTGAGATTATCTAGGAATTTGTTCACTTACGTATCAGATTTAGATATACCAAATCAATGCTAATGACAAGTTCAGTAATATCTGAGACATAAGGCCCCGATTTCCAATAAATCTTGTGATCAGATGCTGGGTCAGTCACTATCCCAGTGTGAAGTTGCTGCGGCAGCCATGTTGTATCCCAATGTTAAAAGCCAGTCCAATTACTCCAACGACTAAAGCTTAACACTTCCAATTGATAAGTGATCTAAGCGATCTAAGTGATGGTGCACAAGTAGAAGTTGATGACAAACATTCATCAGTGTGGAGAAGAGGGTCTGCTGAAGTTCAGTCCAGATGACCTCTTCTGAGTTTGTTGGTTGGTGATCTCCAAGATACCGTTCCTGATTCTGAAAGTCTCGAACCAGGAACGTTTCAGGCACCTGAAGGGAAATAAAAGACAAAGGAAAGAATTAATTAGGATGCAATGTTAAAATTAAATAAACAAATTCATCAAATGTTTAACTGATAAGGACGGCAGTGTGCAGTTAAACCAATGCAGGTGAAGTTGGACATTTTCACTGATTACAGATACGTATTGCATAATTAGCTTTTTGGAATCCAATCGTTGATCTTCTTCTGGCATTTTAAGAGCATTTATTGACCTTCTTCCTAATAATTCTGGTTTAAGAACAATAGATTACAAAGACTGAGGCTGGAGAAGGTTGTCCTCCAATCCAAAAATGGGTGGTTCGATCTCCAGTCCCTGCAGTCAACATGTCGATGTGTCCTTGGGCAAGTTATCTATCCCAAAATAGCTCCTGATGGTGTTATGGCAGATTCCTTATATAACGATTCATTAAGGTCACACAGGAAAAAGGGGCCCGATGCTTAGGTTAAAAGTATGTGTATACATTTAGTCTTAACAGTTGTAAACATTAGCATGTGTGGTAGCTGCTAAATAAGGTCATGAAATCTGGGATCATGTAAAACTCAGAGGATGCAACATATATGACTGTATAAGGTTTGAACATCTCTGCCACGTATGCTGTTTCAAGTGTACAGTATGTTCGTGTGTGTTTTACATGTATAAAGCACATGAGATCTTTCTGGTCTGGGGGGCATTTCCACGATTGACTGCTGTGGCAGGTGTTGTTGTACTACAAGATTATTATTGTTGCTGAATAATAATCAATCTCAACCATGTCTGTGTTTGTGTTTTATTGATCTCTCTCTGTGTTAACATTTAAGGTTGGTGAGCCATTAATTGCAATAACAATGGCATGGCCAGTGCAGGTGTGTGTGTGTGAATGTTAGTTTCCCTGACAGCACCGGCCTCTGTATGATTGGTTTGAATGGTGACTTAAAACACTTTGAGGGGTCACAAAGACTGGAGAAGAGCTATATATAAATGCAGTTAATTTACCATTTAGAAGTGCACTCTTGGTAAAGACGTAAACATGAGGAGAATTTCAAAGAAACAGAACCAAACAATAAAAGCATCGACAGACGCTGGTATATAAACAGCTCTGACTGGGGCTGTTCAGCCGAATTGACATGCCAAGTCAATTTTCCGGTCAAGTGGTTTAAAAAGCATTTATGATGGAATGAGACAGCAAGTGGGAATACACAAAGCAGTGAACACACAAGCAAAGGAGAGAAACGGGAGGCACTCAAAGCTTTCCCACAGGCGATGCTTGTTGTAGCTTTATGGCTTTTCCAATCAATGAGAGAAAATAGGAAGATGAGGTTGAAGTAGACCGAGTAGTGTCAGAGAGAAAGAAATGGATGTAGTGGTGAATGTTAATATACTAATGCTGGAAAATAATGGTGTCTAATGCATGTGTCAGCTCAACATTTCCCAAGTGGTATCCCATCAATATTTTACATTCAATCAAAAGGTTTTTTTTTTTTTTTTTTTTTTAAATTGTATTCTCTGACTTTTTTGTAAATCACCATGAAGGCCTTGAAACACTGGGCGAGTATAATGTTATACAAAAGCTTACGAAAGTCTAGACAATTTTACAGCTGGTTTTATTTAGAGAACTATGGTTTATTTAGTTTACTGACCACCAGTAAGTATCTATTTAACTATAGTATGAACATGGTACTCAAAATGTGGTATATTCGCCAAGGTTCTATATTGTATATAAAAGTCTTATGGCTTCTCCAGAAAGTTGGCTGCATGTGAAGCTCTTTAATGAGATGGATTTCTTCTGACCGGACATCCGTCTCAGCGTAATGCTTGTGCAGGTCAGGATTTATTCCCCAGCCGTGCTACTCTTCAGTGAATAAACAGGCTGGCATGTAATATATCAGGGGGGAAATCATGACATGTAGCGAGGCGGTCGGACAGATAATCAGTCAGACTGACAGAAAAGTCTTGCCCCATTTTCTGCTTCAACTACAGAGCTCAGCGTCAAGCGAGTTGCCCAACAGGTGTTAAACCATGTGATAGTGCAGAGTGCCCTCGGTGCCCAACAGGTGTTAAACCATGTGATAGTGCAGAGTGCCCTCGGTGCCCAACAGGTGTTAAACCATGTGATAGTGCAGAGTGCCCTCGGTGCCCAACAGGTGTTAAACCATGTGATAGTGTAGCGTGGCACTGCTAAAAATCAGCAGCAAAGAAACAGAAAGAATAAATCCGGAGCCGGGATTGACATTCTACTTTTCAGCGGTACAGGACTTATCAGAGATCAATGTAGTTAAAATCAGAAGTCAGTGTTTTTTCTCTGATGTGAGGTATTAGAACGAAGCTCTTAAAGACTTAATCCATACACACCATAACTTCTTTGTTTGCAGACATTTTGTTCGACTGACTTTTGTTCTATCTGATTAGGTGTCTTGAGAAAGGTCAGCAGACCAAAACAAAAAGCAATACAAAGAAAATATGTTGTCTTTTCCTTCTTGTGGTTACTTCCTGTCTCTCTGTCGGACATGTCACTGGGATTGTGTACAAGGAAGTGCAGATTGTTTACTTACAACAAAAGAAATCAAGTCAAGAATTAGTCGATGAGGTCTTTGAGGGTTGCAAGTCATGGAGAGAAATACAAAGAAATTAGAAAAGAAAAGACATAGATGGTCTCAGAGTGAAACAGATCCATTATGTAACCATGTTCATTCAAGGATCCCCGGAAATCCCTTTTTAACAAGAGTGATATATTTCATAACATTGCCAAATCATATCATGTTCGTCGAGGAACCCACGGATAATTCAATGAAAATATGTGAAGCAGAATAAAACCGCCCTTTTCCATCTCTATTAGATTTCAACTGAGTTTTAAAATGAGCGGAACAAAGACTAGATAGCCTAGAAGACAACACAGGAAAAGGGTAACAGAAAATCAAAGAGACATTATAAACAAAACAATAATCGAGCTAGCGGTAGAATAAAGTGTAAAGGAACAACTTCAATACATTTAAGGACAACGCTGGGTCATCAGAGGTATTCCCCAAAGCTTTGTCATTTGTAAAGATTTCAGTGTTGCCGCTTTCACTATGTGAGGCCTAGAGATTTTAGCCTCTGTCACATTGGTTAACAACCGTGCAATAACTCACTGTTCAATGGGCTGTGGATTATTAATTACAATACTGCAAGGGAGATTTTGAGGATGTAGACAAAATGAGATGGTGGGATCAAGAGCTGTGAGCTACACCTCAACAAGGTTAGTGTTTATTACCAATTTGAAAAAGCTATTACAAATTAATTAAATCTGAATTCAAACGATTCACATCAAAACTTTTAGGGCTAATAAACGATATTGGTCAGAGTCATGGATCTCAATATGTGAGACGGCTTAGGCGGCTAGCAGCGAACTGCAGTGGAAAGAGAATACTTTCTCTACAGAAAATCTTGAGTTAGGGTGATGTTTTTGGCAAGTTTTCAATGGGAACAAAATAAAAGTGTTTTTGATGCATCTCTTCAACCAGCATTTAAGATGTCAGACTGTCATTTCTATTTCATTTTTGCAATAAAGGAGGATATATTTGAATCTTAATGTAACTCTCTTTTGATTTGCTTCTTTGATCATCTCACTCCCCAGTTCTTGCCAAATTTGCCATTTGAAGTCATTTTCAAATACAGTAAAACTGTAAACAGTAACACACAGTGAGAAGGGGGAAATACAGATAAGATGCATCTAATAATGAGACATGACGCAAATATAACGATAATATGCCAATTTGAACTTTATATAACGTTTTTTGTGAAATATAAATATATCCTCTTTTTTATCATAAACAAATTGCTATTGTTGTTAGTATAGAGTCTTGATATGAAACTTAGCTAATGACTCTTACGATGGGAATAAATTGTCTTCTGAGTGTTTAACCGTTTGCTGCAGGAGACGGACTCGTTGCGCAGTTACCACCGGTCTTGGTGCGGCTCTTTTGACCTGGCATAACGTAACGCGCTGCGTAACTTGGATCGCCCAGGTGCGAATGACTGCTCTTTTCTTGTCTTCCACAAACTCAGAATGCTCAGCCAAACGGCCAAGCCTACCAAAAATAGGTTGAACTCATAGGTGTTCCTCTCCACGGAAGTGTTTAGTAAAAGGCGAAAGACTTATACGCTTTAACTGTATTATTTTTTTTTGCTGAGCTCATCCTGCAAGGTGCAGCGCTGAAATTTACATTTTAATAACACCGCAGCTTAGTTGTAGTACTGTGGTTTCATACCGTGCTTTGTACATATTTACAGATGTGACTCCCACAGACCCAAATAACACTATACAGTAGATTCATTCCCAACCCAAGTGGAATTTGATGTCATTTTAGCACTAAATGCTACAGAGGAAACAGAAGAACATGGATGTAAAGTTAACTAGAGGTCTACAACACATGATTCACTGACAGTGTATGTGTGTCCAAACCAATCTGTCACTAAGTGCAGTCAAATTGAGGCGTTAAGTTGCCGTATATAGGCTAAAACACTTCTTCATGTACAGGAACATTTGCAGGCTTTAAAAGGAACTCTTTAAGATACTGTACCTCATTAATAATTCCTGCTCTTGTCTCATAAATATAACGGATGCCTCACTTTCAGAATTAACACCCACACGTATCAAAAAGCCCATTCACATGAAGTGCCAACTAAGGCTCGCAGAACATCTCCAACATCTGTATCTTAAAGCTCCCATGTCATGCTTTTCCGGTTATTACCCGTCCCCTTGTGTGTTATGAAGGTTTTTATGCATGTAAACGGTGTGCAGAGTCAAAACCCTCAAAGTACACCCTGTAGCGAGTAAAACTCTAACACAGAAAATACCTCCCCAAAACGCCTCGTTGGAGATACGTCACTGCCCATTTGAGTCTTCCATTTAGTTCCGGGTACGGCCTGATGTCATGCGGTACCCGGAACGAAATGGACCAATCCCGAAGAGCTATGGCCACACCCAGCGGCGCTGGCCGCACCCTCTGCCAGCCTAACATTTACTGTTGGAAG